AACCGCTCAGGCACTTCAGTTCTTGAGCGGTGGCTCGTACTGTTCGTACGTTTCGCGCGTGCATACGTGACAGTTGTGTATACATTTGAACGTAGAACGTCGTGCGCAACCTGAATTTGGCATTAGTCATGTCACGATATTATACGAATTCGCATGAAGATTGACGCTTTGACGCCGTTGGATCTTGCCGACAATTAAATTTCTCGTAAGTCCATGGCCAGACTTTGGTTATCTTTTATTGCAAATGCATCGTTTTATCGTATCTTTCTTCAATCTTCTCGCAAATGGATAACGTAATCACATTTTTTTCATCCCTGCTACTGTGTGACTTGTATGTACATATGATTTTTAGGCGCTTCTGGAGGGTAGAATGTCAGCAGAATCGGAGATAATACTCGAAGAGGAACATTCCGTGGACCTGTTCTCAGATGTGGAATCGTCGCAGAGCACGAATAATGTAGCCAATTCGGACTGTAAGAATCTACCTATCCACGCGTTCTCTTGCGTCATTGCGTTTTTGCGTTGCTTTTAATTAATACTCAAACATTTGGCTTCAGCGAGTTCCATGTCGATTGGTGTCAACGAGCCTGAACCTTCCGACGACGTACCTGAGTGGAAGGGCATGAGTATGGACGAGATACGCAAAGGTCTTGGTGTTTACGATTATCGAGAACATCCGCCGATCGTCATCTCTCCTGATCATACAGTATTGTTCATGGTATGATTTAACATGAATAGAACAATGATATATTATTAAATTTTTGAAGGCTAATATATCACAATTAAACAGAAGTGGAGTTAATTTGCAAAGCAATAATTAACTTAATTTAAATTAGTAAGAGATGAGCAAATTAGATGTTAAAATAATTATGGGTAATTACACACACACACACACACACACACATATATATATATTCACAATATTATCATATTAGAATTCAATAAAAACTTATTTGTTTACTTACTGAGTAGCCTCTCATTGTCATCTTATATTTAAAATTTATTTAGTATGTAAGATCTTGTGATGTTATTAATTATTTGTTTCTTTTAAATTGTGATTAGTACTCTGCGAGCTGAAATGTATTATGTGTGTCATTTCATTAAATTATTAAATGTATTTTAATTATTTTAACATGTGTGTGTAATTTGCTCATCTCTTGATCATTTAAATATCAAGGATTATTTTGATAATATATCTAAATTACCAATTTTATACATAAGTCTTGCTGTGCATACTTGTTAGATATCTATTATATTTGCAACATACTTTTTCTGTGATTTAGTTACCATTGCGTTCACATGGACCACCAAAGCCGTATCCGACGCATCAAATAGACAAATGGAGCCAGGGTTATGTACGAATGCCACATTCTGCGCACAGTTTGTATCCAATAGAGCAGGTATATATTGTCAAATAAATAGAATGTCCAACATTTGCAATCTTGAGATGACAGATTCTTTGAATTCGAAAATTTACTCGTATTTTCTTAGAAAATATTGAGAAAAATTACATTTATCACATTTCAAAATTTTAATATTATATATAAGTATATAATTTTAAATTGCTTGAAGAATTTGTCATCGAAATAAAGATTGCAAGATGTAGGATTATCTATAAAGAAAATAGATATTAATTCTGTATTAAGATTTTTAGTATTGAATTTTAATATTCCGCATAGAGAGTATAAAATAATTATTGATATTAATTAAACTTTATATTTTAGAGAAGTGGAAATCGTTGCTGTCGAAATAGATGGGAGATGATCCAGGAAGCTTTGCTGAGGAGCATTCTTTCTAGCCAACAATTAGAAAAGGCTATACTTTCGTACAATCAAATATATGCACAGCGTTGGAATTTTGCGGCGCTCCATCACTTTTTCTCAGAGGTATATCTACGGTGCATCACACTTGGGTTGTGCTCTTTAAAAATCGTGATTAATAAGAAAATTTTTGACGCAGGTCATGGACTCGGAAGAGACAACAATGTTCTTTGAAATATTGATGCCAAAAATAGTCCAACTGGCTTTGCAGCTTCCTGTGCTGTTAACCGGTGCGGTGCCTCTGTTGAAACGACATAGCAACGGCTCCATCAGTTTAAGTCAATTACAAGTAGCTTCGCTACTGGCAAATGCATTTTTTTGTACATTTCCTAGACGCAATTCCAATAATCCGCAATCGGAATACGCAACGTATCCTTATATTAATTTTAATAGGTAAGGCTAACAAATTATTTAAGTTCTTTATTAAAAATTATTGGATAAAATATATTTATTTATTATTTATTATGTATTCTTCTAATTGTATATTTTAGATTGTTCGCCGCCTATAACGAAAAACAAAGTGCGAGTCGATGCGAGTCGGTGATGGAAAAAATTAAATGTCTTCTCCATTACTTCAGAAGAGTCACAACTAAAGGTGAGCATACCATAATTATAAAATTCTTTTATATAAATATTTATGCAATTTATCACGATGATTTATCAATAAACGGATGTAATGTAGAACTCGAATCATATTATAATTTTTACATAGAGCAGCATCTGAAGGTATAATAACAATTGAACGACGTTACATTCCGTTGGAAAACTGTCCAAGATGGAATTTGCAAGAGCAAAAATTACCATCGTTACATATAACGAGTAAAGGGACCATTGAAAGTGAAGGAGCTGGGTTGCTTCAAGTGGACTTTGCAAATAAGTGAGTCTCTATTATACAATTCTAGTTAGAATGAATCATGCCTGAAAAATTTATTGACAACTTGCATTGCTTGAAATTTTAGTGAGGAATTATAAGGCAAATAAACGTGAAAAAAAAAGATAAAAATAAAGAGATTCTAGAGATTATTACTGATATTTTTCGTTATTTACTAATTTTCTTTTTCGTGTGTATTTCGTAAATAGATATGTGGGTGGAGGTGTGCTAGGCTTAGGCTGCGTGCAGGAAGAAATACGATTCGTTATATGTCCAGAACTTATGGTCACTATGTTGGTTACGGAGGAATTAGACGATACGGAGGCACTTATTGTCAGTGGTATCGAGCGGTACAGTAAATACGAAGGGTATAGCAATACTTTCAAATGGAAAGGAGATTTTGTTGACGAGACACCGAGGGATATTAGTGGTAGACGTATGACGTCAATCGTTGCTATTGATGCCCTTTACTTCAAGCAATCCTCTTTGCAGTTCAATATGGACAACATAAAACGTGAACTTAACAAAGTTTGTAATCTTGATATAAATATCGTCTTAACCAAAATAAATCTGTATAAAAATTTATGAAATTTATCCTTCAGGTTCCTAAATTATCGGAACGTGAAGCAATCTCGTTTGTAAATATTTTTACCAATTTTAGATAAATTATAATTTTTATATAGATTGTTACATTTAAAAAATATTACTTTAAGCATTTCATTGTTCGATGATATTCTTCTTAAAATTCAAACACTATTAAAAAATTGCCGATTGTAAAAAATTGCTGTTTATTTTTCAATATTATGCTAATATATTATTATGCTGTCAGTATTATGCTATTGTCTCTAATTTTAAGCTAGTGCATTTTCCGTAGGCTTATGTAGGATTTGTCGGATCTGATATCTATAAGAACAATCTGCCCGCTATCGCAACGGGAAACTGGGGATGCGGCGCGTTCCGCGGAAATCCGAAATTGAAAGTTTTGATACAATTGATGGCTGCTGCAGTTGCAGGCCGATCGATGGTCTATTTTACTTTCGGAGACACGAAGTTGCGGGACGATGTGGCAGCGATGTACGCACATTTGGTTCATCACGATATTGATATAGGTATCCACATTTAAAAGAATTCCTGTATACGAAATCTATAATATATCTTTATAATCATTGATGTATTAATTGGATTAATTTTTTTCATTAACTTCTAGCACGACTTTACTCAATGCTGTCGGAGTATCGTCGAGAATCAGCGTCGAACGCTCATTCGGATTTTTATTGTTTCTTGTACAACAAAAGTAGAATGAAACCATTAAACAAATATTTCCTGACAAAGATTGAAAATTCTTCACCGAAGATTTCTACCAAGAGTCTGAAGGAAACACTATTTAAAAGAAATAAAACCGCAACCTTATCAAATAAAGACGTCGATAACAAGCGATATCTTTATTCGACGGCTAATGAGAAGGAAATGGAGGAGGAGGAAAAGATAATGAATTGGTTGACAAGCTGCGAGGACGATAGCAACGACAATGCTAAGCCCGATATCAAGAATACATGCCATGAGAAAACTAAGAATAATCCAAGAGAAGCGGATAGCGAAAAAAACAGCGGTTTACAGAACAATCATTTTGC